ACACACACTCACACACACACACACACACACTCACTTGCACACACGCTCGCACTCGCACACACACTCACACACACACGCACACGCACTCACACGCACACGCACTCACACACTCGCACTCGCACACACTCACACTCACACTCGCACACACACACTCACTCACACACACTCCTCTGAAACATTCTGTGTTCGACATGCTCACTGCGTTTATATTCAACTAAACAACACCAATATTTCAAGAGGCAACATACATGTCAGAAGTAACACTACTGTTGCCCACAAAACCCTCGACTCAAGCCGACCGTCGAACAGCACCATACAGCCAGAATTAGCTGCAAGAACACAGCATGTGCTGAAATGCAGCGATTTCATCCCATAAGTCAAGGACTGCTGGAGAAGCATTTTCTCTTTTAGCAAACGGTGCTAATGGACGACACGAGCTAAAGAACCCAGTCTAAAACACACTTCCAACTGCTACCTGCTGCGTTTAGCTCAGGGACGCTAACTGAACTTAGCACAGGTGTGTAATTCTGATCAAAAGACTATCTACAGGGTGTCCGCGGGTCCTTAAAAAGTCTTAAAAAGTCTTAAATTAGGATTCGATGGGTCTTAATTATTTTTGGTCTCATTACCGCTAAAATATCTTCAGTCTGACGGAGCTAATGACTGTTTACAATCATTGGACAGACCGAAGATGTTTTCTTCCCGAAAATATTGCTTCACCAAAAGTTTGTTTACTCCACCAAAAATCTCATGCAGTTATTTTGTGGGGATATTTTGTATGGAATATTGTCTGCTGACATGAAAAGTTCACTGTATATCATAGTAATAAATATAATTTATTACAGCAATGACATTTTGTTTTCTTTTTAATTTAAACACATTAAATATTACATATATGTATGTAATAAAATGTGTATTTCCATTACAGGTTTAGGTCTTAAATTTCATATAAGGTGGTATTAAAAAAGGTCTTAAAAAGTCTTAAATTTAACTTGTTCATGTCTGCAGAAACCCTGATCTATCCATCCATCCATCCATCCACATAATGCAAGGCTTTTTAAGCATCTTTCAAAACTTTAAATTCAGAATTTATTAACTCACCATTCTGAGTTTTACAAGACAAACCGCTTTCTTTTGTAGTGAAAATCATCATATGATAATTTCACTACAAAATATAATTTATAATTTGATAATTTCAAATCATGTTGATTCTGCTTTAGTCACATTGAAATT